TATTTTAAATAAAATGAAATAAAAAAATTAATTATTTTACTCAAATAAACAGTTTACATAATTCATGAAATATTTATAAACAATTAAATTCAATAGTAAAAAATAAAAAATGATTAAATATTTATTTAAATTCTTTATTGATATTTATTTAAATGCTTTGCAAATAATTAATTTGATCGATATTTTAATTTTCTAATTTAATTGCTTATTTTTATTATTTTACGAATGTTTAAATATTTATTTAAATTCTTTATGTATGTTACTTATTTAATATTTAATTATTTCATTTAATTTTTTGACTAACACTTATTTTCATCATTTATTTTAATATTTTCATTGCTTATTTTAATTATTTTACTAACACTTAATTTAATTATTTATTTTTAATTAATGTTTAAATACTTTTTTTAATTCTTTATGCATATTGCTTATTTAATATTTAATATTTTATTTTAATTGCTTTACAGAAATTTAATTTGATTGATAATTTAATTTTCTAATTTAATTGCTTATTTATTATTTTACAGATGTTTAAATATTTATTTAAGTTCTTTATGTATATTACTTATTTAATATTTAATTATTTCTTTTAATTTTTTTTACTATTACTTAACATAAAATAAGTAATTAAAACTAAATTGGCAAATAATAAATATTTAGATAAATAATAAAACATTTATATTAAGCATTTCAAAGAAATAATTTTAAGTACATAATATACATTAAAATTAAACAATTCAAATAATAATTAAATATTAGACAACACAATATAAGCAATTAAAATAAATCGTTAACTTAAAAAATTAAAGAAAATAAATAAATAAGTAATTTTTAAAAAAAAATTTGGGCCTAGAAAATTGTCGGCCCAGTGCCAGGCGGCCCAGTCAACTGGGCGCCCAGGCGACCCAGTCAACTGGGCACCCAGGCGACCCAGTTGACTGGGTTGTCTGGGCACAGTTGACTGGCCCAGACGGTCCAGTCAACTGGCGCCCAGACGGCCCAGTCAACTGGGGCGTTTGGGTGAGTTTGGGTCATCTGGGCATGCCTAAACGGTCCAGTCAGCTGGGCTAACCGTCTCCTTTGTGGAGATCGTCGGAAAACTCCATTTTCGTCGATCCCCACTCCATTTTCCTCCTCCCAAACTATTATTCTTACCCAAAAATCATGCATTTTTCAAAAAATCAACACATGTATACAAAATCATATTTTTTTCTTCCAAATATCAACATAAAAACATTAAATATGGATCGTTTATTTTCCCTTTTTTATCAGTGCTACAGTATTTTTTCTCTTTTCTTACTATCTTCTCTTTCTTCTTTAAATAGTAAGGGTAAATTTGGATTTCTCTTGATTTTCAATATTTTAAACATTTTTACTTTTTTTCTTTTTTTTTTTAATTGGTCAAAGGCCACTTTGAAAAAATGGCCGAGTCAACCGGCTATTGGCCACTATTTCCTCTCCATGAAACCCAAGGCTGCATGAACTACGCAGCCCAAAGAATTGGCCCAGTTGACGATCCACATCCCTGCGTGAGCCAAGATCTGAAGCCGTTCGCACGTGACAATTTCCGCGCGTATCTGATTATATTGGTCTAATGAAAATTGGATCAGGTTCAACCCTTGAATTTGAGATTAGAATGAAAAAGTTCCCACCATACCCTATTTCATTCAAAACAACTCACATTTACTTATGAATGTATGCAACCGATCGCTTAGAATAATGTTATTCATAGTGAAGACTATTGGTAATCGTTCTATGTAATATACATGTGACTGTTTGTTATTTGATGTATTAATGCGATAACAAGTTGTCACGTACAGCGACTATCGATAGTTCTCACTATGACTTAAAATTAAGACCAATCGATTGGTTGACCACGTGACGGAAATTTTTTTGCAACTACTAATTGGTATAAATTCAAAACTGAATAAGAAGATCAATTAAAGCATGCTTTATGTTGTTCAGATCAACTACGGATGGACTTTCACAAGTGATACCACGTACAAAGAAGTTGGAGGGAACCCATTTAACACATTGAATGAACTTATTTCTAAATACTTCTGAAGATTTCTATTTTCATATAATCTTGGTTGAATTTTTCTAGTTGTACAATCGGGGTTGACAACGCTTTCACAGGAGTGAGCCCACGAATTTTATTCATCGTGGGCCCCCCTCTCATGTGTATGGTTGTCAATCCCAATTGTACATGTAGCACTTTCCATCTTGGTTTGAGAAGGAATTCCGGTAAAAGAAACTCTGCCAAAACCGAGGTGACCAACCTTGTACAACTCTAACCAAACCTCTTCTTCCTCAAACGCCCTGTTCATTGTCTCTTCTTCCCCCACTATTTTTAATGACCCTTCATCTCCCGTTCCTTTCTCCCAAGTTTCATACGTCTCCCTCCCATTATGGCCGTAAATCATCTCACATTCTCTCTTCTTCCCTAATCCCAAGTATTTCCGTGCCACCATCCACGGCAGCTTTAGGAACGCAAAAGCCAAGATATTCACCACCACGCAGGGGCAGCAGCAGACAGCAATGCAGTCAGCAATCATTCCCGCCGTGCATGACTGGCAAGACTTTCCATTGCAAACTATTGCCTCTCCGCCACCATCCTCCGCCATGCGCTGCCGCTGGTGGTTCATCTTCTTCTTCCTCTCTGATTTGCTACCTTTTGATCTCATGACGGACTCACGATGGACTCACGATGTAACTATAGCGAGTTTTTGATCTCTTTCTTTCTTGATAATAAACTCACTGATCAAAAGCATACTTTTTATTAAATATGGAAGAGTTGGAAATATAAAAGGCGTGGGTTCCATGCAATTATTCTTGAATTCCAAAGAGGCACAGAAGTTCATGTATTTGACCACGTAGAGTGTACACCAGTATCATGCCACGCCAGTTCACTGGGGCTTCGGTCAAGGGCGAATCCCGAATGTTGAGCCAGCACGGACGGCTGTAATAAAATATTAAGGGCTCGTTTGATGTCATTTTTTGCAAAAAAAATACATTTTGAAATAGTGATTTGATAGAGAATATGTAGTTAAAAATAATAAAAAATTTCGAATTTACGTGTAATATTATTTTACTAAAGAATGTTTGATCGGAAATAAGGGAAAGAAAAATATATTCTAAGCTAAATGAGAATCAAACAAGGCTTAAAATTTAAATAAAATAATAATTTTGTTGAAGTTGAACATATATAATTTTGTTATAAGAATAAATCGTACTCATCAAATTACATTATTAACCACTAAAATCTTACATATATTATTTTGTTAAACTTTGTACCACAACTCATCATATGTCATAATGGTCAATCTTTCATTATATCTTAGAATAGCTCACAAGTTCGATTCCTCACTGGCCCTTTTCTTATTTCAATTTTTTTGGTAAAAATTGTGTAACAAAAAGTTTATATAATAAATTGGTGGATAGATTGGAACTGGGGCAACAAAAAATCACATGCAAGCGCTAACCAACTTGGCTAGAAGGAATGAATGGAAGAGTACCAATAATATATCCTATATATTTGTCTATTTCTCAGCAAAAAAAAAGGGCTCCCAGCGGATCCAGCAGCACGGCTCGTCCAGTGCTGGATCCGCCAGTGGCTTCGGTAGAATGTGCATATTATACTAGATTCGCTTGAGAACTCTCAGGTTTGACCCAAAAATGGCTGGAGTAAAAATTTAATGAAATTTTGGTTGGAGAAAGAATATAATTGTAAGGCTTTGAATTGAATAATAAAATTAAAGTGTACACGAGTAATGAACATGATTCTGCCAACACTTATTTTGTCAACCACTTTTGTCAACTTATTTTGTACAACTAGATTAATTTTGGAATTAAAATCCTTGTTTGGCAAGTATTGAGACTTTTGTGATAAAGTTTCTTATTTGAAAAACGAGAACAAACGAGGGGACGAATATACAAAGATATTGAACAGTATAATTAATAATAGGGATAATTGCAGCAAAAGTTCCAAATCTTTGAAACATTAGCAAACTTTTCTCCAATCTTTGATTTGTTGTAGCTGTTACCCCTAACCTTTTCAAATGTTGCATCGGAGGCCATTTTGGACGATTTTCATCCAAAATTTCGTCAGTTGACAAAAAAAAAAGAAAAAGATTTTGATTACATTTTAACAATTTTTAAAGGGGGCAAAATAGTATCTTTACATTAAAAAAAAAAAAAAAATTGTCTTCTTCCCTAACCCACCCCAAATCCACTCCCATCCCACAACAAACCCTCACCCAAAATCAACGCAAACCAAAATCATTCTACTCATCGCTAACCATCGGCACCAAAGTAAATCATCAACGATTGCCAATGCCAACACCCACACACGCACCATAATTGTAACCGTTACCACCACCAGAACTTATATTCATTTTTTCAATAAATAAATAAATAATAAAAATCAGCAAAAACCACCGGAAAACCCATCTACAGCGATACCCATGATGGCACACCACCACCGGTAGGTGAGCATCCTGAAAATCAACATACGGCCTAAAATTAAAGATGGTAGTGTCTCGCCCCGCTCGCCTTGCCTTAGCCCAATTGTTGCCCCCTATCTACACACAGACACACATACACATTTTCAAAATTTCGAATTATGCTATTGTTAGATAATAAAATACAAATTCAAAATTTTAAAATCTAAAGCAAATAATGCTCAAACTAACAATTTTTTTCATTACTTCTTCACGGGGTGGGTTCTAGGCGAGGCGTGACTTGAGACGGGGCGAGTTTTTTTTCCCCATTCGGGGCGTGGCCCCTACCGGGCCGGGTGGGGTGGGTTATTTTGCTAACTCTGCCTAAAATTAACTAATAATGCACCAGTTTCGTTCTGAGGTTTATCTAATAGATTTAGCGGTTGCGAACTCAAATCTCCTTACCTCAATTCTTGTTTCGCGCAACATTGAATCAACCAATTGGCATCAGTCTTTATGACCTCGGGTAACATTCCAATTTCATCAATTGCTCCAAAAATCGCTCCAATTTCAGACTCAATGTTTGCCACTCTTCTTGCGTGAAAGAACAATAGCGTCCGCATTACAATTGTGGGGTTAGGAAAGAAGACCAATTTTATTTTTCCCTTTTTTTAATTTTGATTTAATGTAAAGTTACTATTTTGACCTTTAAAAATTGTTAAAATATGGCCAAAATCATTTTTTGGTTAATTGATGAAATTTTGGATAAAAACTGTCCAAAAAGGCTTCAGATGCAATGTTTGAAAATGTTAAGGGTGACAGCTACAATAAATTAAAGGTTCGTGAAAGGTCTGCTAATAGTTCAAAGATTTGGAGCTACGACTACAATTATTCCTTAATAATATTTTATTTTTCTATGTAGAAAGAAAAGTTGATGACAATCAATCCATTCTACGGCTTTGAGGCCCCAATGGAATATTGAAGTGGAAAACTAGGCGCTTTCAATGTAGTAATAACTACAGCACAGGCACCAATTAGGCTATACTTAGTACATTCTAAAGTTATACTTCATTTGTACTTTAATGCTTAATAAAATGAAAAGGAGGAATAAAGGTGAGATAGCCATGCTAATTATTATTGCTTCCTCCCTGCTTTTTACAAAAATTTAAAAGAAATGGAAAAAAAAATGTTTTGTTACTTATTGCTTGGTTTAAATGATGAGGCATGCCAACATGTATGTATATTTGTCGTCTCTACATGTTGTTGAACAAGAATTAATCACGAATTTATTTATTTATTTATTTATTTTAATCCAATCATTCAGGTTCTTCGTTAGATATTTTCACATGTATGTTATAAATATATAATTTACCAAAATCGATATTTTTCTTAATTGAATCTGAATGATGAATTTCTAGCTTTTTAATTCATGAATTTTCAGCATTAATTCAAGAACATCAAGCTCCAACCTTCAAGACCTTCATGGTATTCTCTAATGTATAGATTACTTTGGCGTGTGAAATTTTTTTCAATAAAATTGAAAACCTAATTCTTGACGGGACATATCCAGAAAATAAGAAAACAATTTTATATGGAATTTTATGCCCAAACAAGAATTCTTGAATAGCAATAACCATCTCAGATATTCACAATCAAACAGTGTTAGAATCCTTTCAGATAGAATTCGAAAGGAGAATAAAGGCTCAAATGTCAACAAGCGTATATTGTTGAATTCACTTGACCCTATAATACCCATTTTGGTTTCATTCTATCATTAATAACTCGATTTTTTTTTATTATAATAGTATATTGAAATAACACTTGTAAGAAGTCCTATTAAAATCAAGGAATATAGGCTTACCTGTCATCTACACCAAAATAAATAGAGTTTTTTTTTTTTTTTTTTTGGGGGGTGGGGGGGGGGGGGGGGGGATTTCCTCAAAAAACACAAAAAAATCAATTAGAGTTGACCCATTTACTATTCAGGTTTGTGATTTGTTTTTATCACAGTAATAGTTAAAGATGATACTAGTACATTTAGAGTATATTGAACGGACCGCGTGTCCAATTTAATTCTATAGCATGATCGTGTGGAGAATAAAATTTCACTTGGCCGCTGTATATTTCATCTAAATCCCTTGACAGGATTATGTATATATTTTTGTGATTTTAATGGTTTTTTGATCATTAATTGGTGAGAACAATTTGATGGGTCAAATATCTCAATGAGTTGGGAACTTGAAAATGAGTGGAGTAGAGAATATGAATTCGTGTTAGGAACCGTCATCCTGTAAAATGAGTAGAGTGACTATTTCAGTATTTTTTATTGAACGGCTAAAATCTAAGCTCAGTGTTTGGCAAAGGCTAAATTTCGACATCTATGATTAGTTCACAGGACTGTTGAAGAAAATAAAACTTAAGTTAGTTAGAAAAATTAGAGGGGCAAAATGGTTATTTATGCTCATAACTAATTATTGGATCTCGAACGGGGGTAAAATATATATACAACAGGTCAGAGGAAAATATTATAGATTTATTGATTTCTGTGATTTTATATATTTCGAGAGTTCAGTCTTTTGCCTTTAATGAAAAAAAAACAAAGACTAATAATTAGATTGGGTGGTCTAGGGTCGACATATCTAATTATTAGAGTTTGGATAATATATATTCGATCAGGTCCCTGTTATAGCTTCATGAAGTATTGGAGCTTAATTACGATAATTATAATGGTTTTGGACTTAATTATAATTACAATAAAGTTTTGTACTTAGTTGTAATTACTATGAAAGTTGTAAATTTAATTATAATTGTAATTGAAGTTTTAAGATTACAAATATATAATTAAATGTAAACTAATTAGATTTGGACTTTAATTAGACCCCCTATTTGAATATGAATTATTATTGTATAAGGATTGGAACTTCTTTATCTCTATAAATAGATATTAGATGGATCATAGAAATCCTATGTTCATAATACATAATTCCATCGTGTTCAAATTTTGGACAGAAAAAAGAGAGAGAGAAAAATTATTTTTCTTGATTTTTTTAACTGTCAAATTCAAGAATTGGTTTCTTGATTTAATTAAAAGAATGTGCCCACCCACCAGTATAGTCTTGACTTTGCAGAATACTATAAAAGACTTGGAGGTTTGAAACATCAAGTTCTTAAAATGAAAAAGTTGGATGTTCGTGATAAAAAAAAAGTTGGAAGTTCGTGATTCAAAATTAATTCAAAAATTTATC